CAAACTCGCTGAACTATGGTAGTATGTATTTGTGTAGCATTTACTGAGTAAGGATGGTCACAAGCTTAGATTTCAAGTTCTGAAAGGAAATGTGCTGTTCTGCACATCCCAGTCAACGCAATATTCTACATTTCACATGTCGAACAAACATTGCACACACTGCACACTGCACAAAACCCTTGACAGCACAATATACTGCACTTTCATATTAGATGCCTGGATACCAGCAGGACTTACTTTCCGACCAAATTTGATCAGAATGCAAGGGAAGCTATGGTAGGTAGAAACAGGCAGAACCACGAAAGTCGTCATACCTTCCTGATGGATGCAGGAAGTTCTAATGCAGAGTTCTTTAAGAGGAACCTTCGAACTGGGAAAGGACAAATACCAAGGAAAAATGACAAAAAAGACTAACCCACTGGGATCCTTCTGAGTGAATACAGCTTTTAGGAATGTTTCTTCTACCCAAGCTCATGATTTAATTACAGTTCTCTAGCTGGGTAAATTAATGTTCAAACAAATTGGTCTTAAGCACCTGGCATTAAAATAGTTTTAAAAGGTAGATCCAATGTAGGTGAGTTTAAGTGCAGTCCTTTGGCCACCACCATGTTGGGATCTATTACTGCATCTAGGAACCAAATACTCAATGCAATTCAATACACCTACATTCTAGACCAGCAAAGCAAATTTCCCCTGAAAATTCCCATCGTGATGGAGGAGACCCAATATAATCTCCTGAACTTACTTTGCAGCAAGAAACTGCTGTTTTTCCACACCCTTCCCCTTGAAGAGGCAATCCAGCCCTACTCTGGCTGCCAAATAAGGCAGAACCGCACTTTGTGGAAACAGAAAAAAACGAGTAGGAAAAAAACTTTAAAATTTGTTTTTCATGGAAGGTTAAATAAAAATCTTTATTTTAAACAACCGTCTGGTTTCATCTATACTTTTCATCTGACAGATCCATTCATTCATCATTCAAACAATTATTTATCAAATGCCTGCTATTCCAAATATTATTTCAGGCGTTAGGACTACAGTGAACAAGATGACAAAAATCTCTGCCCTTACAAGGCTTACATCTGTGGAAGCTGAGGCCCTCCGAAGCTTAAATGTCCTATGGTCTAAGTCTTGGGATAAGCGAAAAGCAAGTTCTGAGCACCTCTGCTTTTCTCTCCTACTCTAAGTGCGGGACTGAACAAACAGAGCCTGTAATTCCCAGGCTGGCTCCTCTACCGCACAACTGAGGGGCAGGTTTACCCAGGACAGGGCAGCTCTTCAGGCATTAGCATCACCGTCATGTCCACGCCTTGACGTCCAAATCTCTCAGGTTTTCTTTTGAGAGCCATCCTCTGCCTGCCAGCCATCTTCAGCTGGAGTGCACTGCTAGTGTTTAAAACACAAGATGCCTAAATTCATACTCCAAATAAGTTTCTTCCCCAAATTTCCCATCTCTACGAACAGTACCACCTGCCTCCTAATGACCAAGGCTTAACATCCCAGCAACAGCTCTGACACACCCTTGTCCCTCAACCCTGTCGTACACGTTGGCTGACAATTCAGCAGATTATATCCCTGTGTCATTTTTCAATTTTGTTTCATTTTCACCACTGCAGCCCATCTAGGCCCCCTTTACCTCTCAAGGGAGCTACTGTCTTACAGGTCTCCATGCTGGCTGCCAGACTATTACCCCCTTCTGTGCCAAAAGATTTCTAAGGCAAAGTTTTTCATCCTATCATCCCTCTGTTCAAAAACCTTCAGTAGCTATTCCCTACTGGAATCGGTACTAACTCTCCCGCCCAGCATCTCAGAAGACTTGTCTCCTATATTCGTACCACATACTTTAGCAAAATGGAACTAGATAATTTATTGTTGCTCATATTCCCTTTTTGCTTGGAATATCTCCTTCCTTTCCACCTAATTCTCCCAAGAGCTTTTCAAATGCAGCTTCTTTCACGAAACCCTCTGTCGTGCTCAGACTAGATGAACCGTCTCCTTCCAATCCCTGGAGATAGTAACCTGTGATTTGGGACGCTTATCTGTTCTGCCTTCTGTTCTAAGTTCTGTGCTGGCTACCTGGCTTATCCGCTCGTCAGAACTCTGAAGACAAGGACGGTATCTCCAGGACATACTTTCACATAGCAAGTCCTCAGCTAGATTTACTGAGTCAAAACTGCTGAAAAAAGGTTAGGTGACTCTAAAGTAAGTATCTTTCAGTCTCTCTCAAGGAAAGATTTTACCTTCTTTTGCTGATTTCAAAACTTGAAAAGAATTAGTCTAAAAAAAAATCACACTGCTTTTGATTCTTACAGCCATAAAAAGGACATAATTGGCTGCAATTTTTCTTTAAAAAAAAAAAAAGCATAAACAAACGACCCTAAAGACAGGACAAAAGCAATGAGACCACAGACTGAGGCCCAGTGTAAGGGCTGAATAGACACTAGAAATCCATTCACCCACAGTGCACAGTGCAGAAAGAATTCTACCCAGCAAGAATTCAGAATCCTGCTGGAAAGGAGGTATAAAATTTGCATTTATGTGGGGAATTTCAATCCCTCAGCAGCCATGGGATACTAAAAACCCTAAGAGGGAAAAAAAAATTTAGCAAGACTTTCAAGACTCAACTCTTCAAACAGAAGCTTGCTGCCTTGCAGATGAGATTTCCTAATTACACACCCTGGTTTAATGACCTTTCATTTAAAAAGTGCATGCACTGAAATTCACTGTACTTTTATTCTGATACCAGGTATGATCTCAGTTTTTACCCGGGCAATCTAGGTTTTTCAGTCATCTCTTTTTCCCATACTTTTAAAATTCATTCAAAACAGCAGCATTGCTTATGAATTCACTGAAGCAGAAAAGATAAGAGAAACTTAAGGAAACTTAAGTTTTTAAATACTCTAAAAATATGAGTGGGCAGACATGTTATGACTTCACTGACTACTTAAATTATCTATCTTTTCCTTTCTATACCTTTCCTATTTAAATGCGTTTCTCATTATAGGGTAACACAACTTCACTGTAGAATAGTTGGAAAAATATTATCCACAATACTACCACTTCCAACACTACTTCTGTTAATATTTTGGCATTTTCTCCTCCCACTGATTTTCCCATTTTCCTTTCCCCTGAGGAGGGGAAAAATCATGAGGTATTTCTAATTTTGTATTGTGATTTCTTCACTATAGAACCATAAACATTTTCAGGTTACTACAAGTTTTCCTAAGTATTATTTTAAGTGGCATCATAATATTCCACTGAATGAATGCACTACAACTTATTTTATTTTAACCCAGTTTATTTGATAAAAGATTTGAACAGACCCATAGCCATTCCCTCATAACTGGATAGGTGGCTCATTTCTAAAACTTTGCTAGAAGTGGCCTTGTGAGAACTTAATGTTTACAACTTAATCTGTATGTTGGGTTGTTTTATTATGATTGATTCTAAAAAGTAAAATTATTTTACCAGAGAGGACAATAACTTTATCAAATTACTTTCTGAAGAATTTGTAACAATTTGCAAAGTCAAGAGCAATGCATGAGAGTGTCCTGAACTGGACACTCCACACTTTAAAATAGGAGCTGAAGAAGTCAACTGTATTCTGCTGTCAAATCAGAAGTCGGTCAAAATATAATCCTTAGCTAATTACTCTGATTAAAGTATAACCCTGGACCCAGTTAGTGTACACAGTTTGCTAAACCCCATTTTTCTACTTATTCTCCTATTTATTCTCTAATACAGATTTCCTTTCTTCAGACATTTTTTTCTTACCCAACATGCCACACACTTTGCCAAAAGTACGCACTTACTGGTGAGTGTACCTATGTTTGTATATGTACGTCACTGTGTGTACATGTGTGTGTATATAATTCTAGTTTTTTTTTCACTTTTCATTTCTATTTTTTTAAATTGAGGTGTAGTCAGTTTACAATGTTGTGTCAACTTCTGGTGTACAGCACAATGCTTCAGTCATACATAACTATACATATATTCATTTTCATATTCCCCTTCACTGTAAGCTACTACAATCTATTGAATAAAGTTCCCTGTGCTATACGGTAGAAACCTGTTTATCTAGATACTATTTTTAACCTATGTACTTTCACATATACATCTGTGAGGTGTTTTTGTATTTTACTGTAAAAATGTCTGTGACTATAAAACAGTGAGGTCAGGGATGAGGGGGAAACAAGCTAACCTGATAGGTGATAATAAGTATTTGTGTGTGTGTGCATGTATCTGTTTGTTAGTCTTTGCTCACCTATCTATTGAGGTACTCATTTTTCTCTTAGCAATATATAGAAGGATTAAATTCATCATATTTACTTCCCAATCAGTTACCCCTTTGTTTAAATGTTGTCAACTTGCTCATTTTTTGGGGTGTGATTGCCTCTTCTGTCTTTAGGCAGAGAGAAACCTCTCATCCAAGCCAACAGCTTCCCAAACCATGAACACTGAAGGATGGATGACTTGCCTTCTCTGGAGTGGTCTAAAGCAGAGCTGAGTGCTCCCTGCAGGGCCAGATCCTGGCTGGCTCTAGCATTAGCTTGGATCCAGGGACAGAGGTGGGGTGGAGGTGCCAGTTCATGCCCAGATCAGCTGGAAGTCCACATTACCCACCCTTCTTAATCAGCAAGGGAAACCCAGCACGGGTGAGTTGCACACCAGACTGCAGATGAGACTCAGAGTGGGCCACCCTGTTCCCCAGCGTGTCCGGCAGGTCCTCTCGGCCTATGGCAGACTGCCCCTTTCAGCCAACAGATACTGACAGGCTCGGCTTCCCTAGAGTGGATGCTTCCTGTAAGATACCTGGCCACATCTCAGTGCCAGAACACAACCCTGAGGCATGCTGGAACGCCACACCACAGCTGTGAGAAACGGTAAGCCCTTTGTCTTTAATTTCAGTATATACACTTAAGCAAAGAAGCTGAAGGACTTGGGATTTTAATATTAACCACGAAGAAGGGGAATTTCTGAAACAATGAAGGCCCAACACACACCTGATTTCGTAGAGGCTGCTGTGATGGCCGGTCCCTGTGCGCGTGGCTCTCTCGGGTCATTGCGGATGCGCCAGAATCTACGTGGACAGACCCTACTGGAGTAGGCTGGGAACATATAAGAAAAAGTCAAATGGGGAAGAGAGGGCCAACTTACTGTCTCTGCAAAGGACAGCATCATTCTAATTCTAATTCTAACAGGACAGAAGTAATGATTATTTTCAGCCACCAAGGACAGTTCAAGTCTTCCTGCTTTCTCAGTTTGCATATCTGCAGAAGGGAGACAGTTTGGTCCTCACTAATTCATTGGAGAGTAGCTTCCTTTGAAAAGAGAACAAAAAACAAAAAAACAAAAAAGAAAACCATCCTACAGTGATGACTATTCACGCTTGCAGGCCCTGTGGACCGCAGGCTAGAAGAGCCAATTCAAAGGCTTCCTGTGGTGCTGGGCTCCACTCCTACAAACGTCAGGCACCTTAACAGTTTATGTAGCATCAGCTCCTGGATCATTCAAATAAAACTTCTACTTAAAAACCAGCTTAACTTCTGGTATGTTAGGACATACTGGTCATAATCTTTTAAAAACACAGGAAGCAGGAGTAACTCCTTTATAACTCCAATGAGATCAACCTATGGTATCACCTTGAAAAGGCTGGCAAGTGTAGAGCTGACAGTGAAAGGAATGTTTTTTTTTTCCTATTTATTTAAGCAGAAAATCTGACAAGTATAGGGATGAGAAAGCTGGTCTGAGGTGAACAGGTAGAAGAGGATACTTACAATAGGCCTCCCCACCCAATCATAGGCGTAGTCAAAGGTGTAGCCTTTCTTTTCAAAGAGGTCTGTGAAGAGGGTCCGTAAATACTCATAGTCAGGTTTTTCAAAGAAGTCTAACCGCCTGACGTATCGCAGGTAGGTTGCCATCTCCTCTGTTAGGAAAGAAGTTAAAGGCCGTGCTCGTTAGCTGAATGCTTCTCGGGGGGGAGAAGCTCTGGGCCAAGCAGGAAACACCTGTACGCACTATTTTACACTGATGTTTTCTTTATGGACCAAATCAAAGCGATAAAACCTACCCTGATTTAAATAATAAAAGGAAACATGAATTTTCTGGAGAGCACCCTTAACTAGAGATACTAACGCATGGTCTCCACCTGCTTCAAAGCTTCAGTCACAGGGGCTGGAGTGTTCTTTCAGCAGCCTACCTGGAAAGTTTTCACAGAGAGCTTCAATGGGAGTATTCCTTTTGGTGTCACCAATTTTTTGATATCTCTCTTTTAATGTATCCGCCTGTAAAGAATAAAGAGAGAAGGTTATTTGGAATGAGGTACTAAGTGTAAGAGGTCCAGTATGTTTGGGGACACAATGGTTATTTCATGCAAACTGGCAGGATTTCCTAGATGGTCTCAATTTTTTCCTAATACGAACAAATGAGAAATGTAGCAGAGATGATATACTTGGATATGTACAAAACATCTGCTCCATTCTGTAAAGTTTTACTTGCAAACATATTTCGTTGTCTCAGAAAAACGTCATCAAATGTAATGACACGAGTGACTAGGATAAGAAAATAAAAATGGGATGTAGCAATAATTTTCATTTTAACAGCTTAAGAATATTCCATGACCACTAGGGTTCAAAAGTTGAGTCAGTGCTCTCCTTCTTAGATCAGCTCTAGATAAGATTTTATACTAATGCAACTGGGGGCAAATAGATAGATCGCTCCACTGCATAATCATTGTGAAGTTGAACCAAAAAAAGGGGACAAGATGTAGAAAAACTGCCTTTCCACAATGTGTTTCCAGAGGGGGAACTGTTATTAGCTATGAGGCAGGCACGGCTAACAGTCAAGCGTGTTATATGTCAGTGGCTCAAGCCAGCCAAGTCTGGTTTGTTCAAGACTGCAGACAGAGGGCTCCTGGAGCTTGGACCAATGATGTGGTTTCAAGGAATTCTCACGACACTCTATCCAGTCGGCTGGATCCAGCTTTAAGCAATAATGTTCTGAAGTACGCTGGAGAAAATTTTAGATCTACAACTACCACTAAAATAATTCATGGACCATGAGAAAGTTTCAAGCAATTAATAATACATGAATGTACTGTTTGGCTGTATGATGAGCAAGCAGGATGTGAAACTCTGTTTGATGGCTGTCAATATCATTGAGAGGGTATATGTGACTAGGAGAAGACCGTGGAGAAAATGTTAGGAGAAGAATTTAAAGGGAAAGAAAAAGAACTGTCCCAAAAGGAAAGGATAAAAGCCTTACTTTTCAGGACAATGTCCAAGAAAGCATAGCAAAATGAATCATTCTGCTCTTCTGGAGGGAGGGAAGGGGGTACTATAGGACCCAAAGTTACTGATTAAGTTTCCTCCCATACTACTATGTTGAAATACAACTCAAAAATGTCTCACATTTAGGTATCTAATAGGACTCGGAATGGGTTAGAAGCTCTCCACTTCCTAGTCTAACAGCCAGAGGCACAGAGTAATCATTACAACGATTGTAACTATAATTAATAGTTAACTTTGACACAAATGCACTGTACTGACACCTACCTAAGGAAGGCTATTTAAACCACACATTTCTCAAGAAACACCTATTGTCTGCATAGGCATTTATTTAATTGAACACCTGAACCACAATGTTAAACTTGGATTCTTGTTTTAGTTCAGGTGGGTCCTTTGTGTTTATAGAATGAACAAATATTTCTCAGCACACCTGGCCCCGCTGGCCTTGCTGGCAAAGTGTGTAGCAGCTGCTGTCATCAGTTTGTTCCAGAAATTCCCCAACACCCTGGGAACACTCTTCCTGCTACATAATGGTAGCGAAGGAGGGATATAAACAGAGGGAGAAAGGCAGCGCTGCCAAGGCTGGGAGGGAATGAGGAAAGATTATGGAAACCGTGAAAACAAGGAAGAAGGATTCAGAAGGGGCAGAAGACAAATGTGGGCAAAGCAGAGCTTCTGACGCTCAGGTGAGCATTTACATCATAGACTTAATAATATAGCTAGTTCCTGCTTCCCATCCCTGTAGCCAGTCTCCCCTTTGTGCTTCTGACAGACATCAAGTCAGCAACCCCTTGATTAACAACTGAGTATTTAAACAAAGCTCTCCACCGAGCACTTGCAAAGCTACCTTGAGTCCTTGCCAGGGTAGGCTGCCTCGGAGGAAATACATGAACATATGGCCCAGGGCTTCCAAATCATCCCGCCGGCTTTGCTCTGAAAGGGAAGAAAGATCACACATTATGTTTGCAGTTATTACAGCAGAAAGGGGCTCAAAAATAAGTAATCCCTTCAGAAACCTGTCTGTTCTGGAAAGGCTCTGTTTATAATTCTTTGTATATCTAAATCAGGGATAGTATTTTAGATCAAAACCAAAAAAAACCAGTGCGTACTTCCTCTGCCTAGATCTGTTACTGGCAAGTAAATATCAAGTGAAAAGAGCAAATCCTAAACTAAAACCAAATCCAAATCAGTACATGGTGAGTAACCACCCCCCACTCAATGCCGTCACGTTCCTGGAAAGAAGATAATTTAATGAATGTTATTTGTAGCACAGGGGCTACAATTACTCTTTGGTTACCATCATGTCAAGTGAGCGGCAGACTTAGGGCAGCTGAGGCTGTAAAAACGGTCCATTCTGGCTAGGCCTGCAGAGACACAAGCTGCAGAATGGCTAGCATACACGCCTAGTGCTTCTTATTCATCATAAAAATTAATACTTGAAATTTAGTTTAATGTGAGTGAACATCAATGCAGAAACCTCAGCTCCATTTCATTTGTACTATGTCCCATGTACTATGCCTTAAGAAGATTTTAAAATTTATTACTAAGATGCTCTTTCTAGGCACATAAGAGAATCCCAGTGTTCAGGGAGCTTATCATGTCAAACAAGTTGTTGGATTTTTCTTTCTTTCCTTTAAATTGGGACGATAAAGATGGCAAAGAACTGCAGAATAGCTAATAAAAGATTCTAACTACATCTCAGAAAACATATATATTCTTTGGCTGTCATACAATAAGTCGTACACTAACGGTTCACCTCAGACATTTTATGGGTTTATTTTCCAGAATCAAGTTCTGAGCTATATCAAAAGAAATTACAGATGCCACGAATAAGGGGCTACCTTAAACTTGATTTTGTTTTTCTTTGTGCAGAAAGTAAAACCTAAGAGGCAGGGAGGCAGGGAAAGCTATTCAGCTAACTCAAAATACAAAAGCACAACATGTTTAACTGCTGCCTCCACTTACGGGGAATTTGCATGAAAAAGAGTGAATTGTACTCCACAGGGTAGATGAAGAAGGAAAAGGCAACTTTCTAAATTGCACTTTGAAGCTTTTTGGAAATGAGGTCACTAAAGGGAAGGGGAGGGGAGGCACCCTGACAAGACATACAAATAACATAGTTAATACGCATCAACTGAAATAATCTTAAAAAGAGTGAAATAAAACAGCAAGACCATCAGAAGCTTTTGCCTACAAGGCTTGCCTGAAGTCTGCAATAAATTTCTTACATAATTGGAAACAAAAGTCTTTAGATAAAAAGATTTTTGTTAACAGAACCTAAAGATACACAAATAAAAAAAGAACAAGCAGGTGAGCTGAGGCCTCCCACAAAGCAGGGCAGATAAAGAAACCACACCCTGCAGGTTCTCACACTGTATCACACCTACTGGTCGCCTCTGCATTTCGTATTGACTTTCTGTAAGGAGGCCCCTTGGTAATAAAAACTTCACCAGACAAGTGGTTGCACTTTAGATAGTTGGGCACTAGAGGGCGAAACTCTCCACATTTTCAAAGATTCTTCAGCCCTACAGAAAAAAGCCTAACTTCTCTTCACAGCAAAGCCCATTATGAAATGAAATTTTGATTTTTAAAATAAAACAACAAAAAAACCCCAAACACATTTAAACTCACTGGAATAAGAAAGTAACTTTTCAAATACTGAAAGCCACGAAAAAAAGCCGTGGAACAGGGGATAACAGGAAAAATGATGGTTGCTGAGTCAGGTCATCTAGGTCTTGGCCTGTCCTTTCCACTAATTTATTAATCCATGTGAAATTAAGCATGGCCAAATCTCGTTTTGGGTCTCAATTTCCTCATCTGAAAATTACAGCGATTGATTTAGATAATTTTAAAAGTCATTTTCCAGCTCTAAAATTCTAAAATAATCCATGATAATTTAAACCATTATGGTTTAAACCTTAATTTAAACCATTAAGGTTTAACTCCCCCACCTCCAAAAAAAAAAGTGGAAACCAGAGCCATGCTTTATTTCCATATTTCTTTCAACACTCTACATTCATTCAATTCAGTTTTTTCATGCATTTTCAAAGAAAGAGACCAGGAGGACACAAAATTCTTCTACACTATAAAGGCTTGCTTTCAACCAATCAGAAAGATGTGTTTGGTTTATGAACATCACATCTCTTATTTTAGGTCAAATGTATTTTGTTGAAGGGAAAAGGCCCGATGACCCAGGGTCCTCACCCAAACTTCAAACATTAAGGAATACAAAGATGGGCAGGCTTCACCAGGGGGAAGGTGGCTAATGTGATGTAGTAAATGTCAGATTTAGGAGGCTTCTTCCTTTGTTTTCTGCCCTCACAAAATTAATAGGAAATTCTCTCCAAGTCATTTGCAGATACACTTCCCTTTTTCTTCATTACAACATAAAGGATGCTACACATTTGAAAACCAACAGGATCAGAGTTCCTATGGAAAACTCTCCGGTGTTAGACCATGGCCAGAGTTTACAGGAATGTGACAACCGTCTACATGTATTCTCTGTAATATAGACGTTACAGACAAATATGGTGACAGGCTGGATCTGACCAGAAAAAAACTCTAGAACTCAGGAAGTCCACATTTGGAAATAAATTTAAAAATTCCAGCAGAAATGGTTACACCAAGAGATAAAGGAACCCAGTCTAATGACTATAGATGCTTAAAACATATTCTGCTGAGTATGTGATAACTACTATTATAGAGTCTAGTTACTATCAGGCACTCTGCCAAGCAGTTTATATCACTATCTCACAGGACCCTATAATATAAGGCACTATTATTACACCCATTTCAGGATCGATGAGATCACTGATGCTGAGGGACGAAGGTTATCGGATCACAGAGCTTTAAGTGAAAGAGCTAGAATTTACAGCCCTTTTTCCTTAACCATTACACTGTGCCTTATACAAACAACACGGTGACCCATCCCTTATCTGTTCTTAACTTCTCTGACGAGAATAATAAAAAGAGAACACAAGTTGCTGGGCCCAGGAAGCAGGCATTAGAACAACAACTTCTAGACTCTGTCGGTCAAACCAAGCAATCATGACTTCACTGCTGGCCACACAGTCTGTCTCCTTGCAAAAAGGAAGAAGGGAACACGGAGCACTATGCAAGTGACCTGGGTTACATATATGACCACTCATTCAACCCTCAAAACATCCTTGTGAGAGATCATTCTTTTTTTTTTACAGGTAAGTTTCAGGGAGATTAAGTAACTTGTCCAAAGTGACACTGATAATAAGTGGCAGAGAACCTTCCAGTCTGATTTTAAAGTACTATATTCAGTTAAGTGAGGATATCCATGTGGTTACCGAAAAAGCCCTGAGAGCACTCATTCCAGCTCAGGCAGTATCAGACTACTCTGTAATGTCATTTTTACTCTTCACTAATACTAGAATCCTCACCTGAATACCCGCACAGTTTACTCAGTGAGGCAACTCTGTTAGCTGCATTAGTCTTTAAAATACCTATTAGTGGACAACAGTTCATTAATATTAAACACCTTATTTAATTAGCTGTGTCTAGGGATGTAATATTCTGTTTGTATGTCTACTCTCTAGGGTGACGATTTTCAAACATATTTTTTCAATCTCCTTAGAATCCTTTCTTCAAATAGACTCTTCCATGAAAGCCCAATATATAAAACAGATAAAAAGGGAAGCTTTCCTGGAGAAGCTGGCGAGGGCTCAAGGCCCCACCTACTGGGCCTTCCCACTGTTCCTTAGGTTTGTCTCACAAATACTCTCCTCTGGACTAGTTCCTCTAAAAAGCAAGGCCTTCTGCCTTGACCAAAGCTTTTAGCAATATTTGTGCAAACTGTCTATCCTAAATAAAATTTAAGACTCATAAAAAAAAACAAATATACTTTCACTGAGTAAGACATGAGCTTTTCCTTGAAGAATCAGTCATGAACTTACGCACAGCGAACAGAAGTCTAGTCCGTGTTTTAGTGAAGCACTCTTCTCCAAGGCAGGTACCAGCCTGATTATGAATGGGGTCTGTTTCAGGACTGTTATAAATGGGGTCATTCATATGTGAATAGCAAACTCATCACTAAACTTATTAAAATGCTGTTACCTTAATTCAATAATTCAGGTACCCACACTGCTGAGAAACTAAGCATTTGGAAACAAAAAATTAAAAATCCTTAAGTTGTCAACAGGATACTTAGGAAAGCCTCAAACTTACCATTTTATTTTCTTAAGTATAATAATCACTTACCCTGTGAAGCAATAAGAATCACAGATTGTAACACACCATGGGTACAAAAGCGTTACTGGAATAAAGAGTTGTTTTAACAACCTGCCCCTTTCATGGAGCAGAAAATAAACACACCTTTGCCAAGATGCGTGTTGATAGACATGTATCTTGCAGTTCCAGTTAAACTCTTGTGCTCCCTGTAAGGTATATGTTTTTTGGTTTCAGGGTCAATGTATTCCTTGGCTAGACCAAAGTCTATAATGTGTATAACATGCTCTTTCTTATTGCCTTGTCGGCCAATCAGGAAGTTCTCTGGCTTGACATCTCGGTAAATGAGGTTCTTTGAGTGCACATATTCCATTCGAGAAAGCTAAAAGAGAAAAAAAAATGATGGAAATACTCTAAAGAAGTTTACTGGAAAAATACATCAAAATGTTCTCTTTTATCAGCCTATGGTTTTAATTACTGAAATTAGAATAAAACTCTTTTCTTCACCACCCAGAGTCACTTTACTCTTGTAAACCAGAATATATTTTGATACAAATATATACATAACAAATATCCATGTAGAAGAAATCAAGTACAGTTCACCTAAAATGACAATACACAGTTTTATCACATAACATAACAAATTGCAAATGATGAACAGAATTAAGTGTTTTTATGCTACTTCAGAAAGCATCTGAGAGGCAAGAAGTATTCCCAGACAGGATATCAGAATATATTGGTGGCCTTTGAAGACAGGGGCCACGGCCACATTCACCTCCTGCCCACATCTTCCCGCATTCAGTAGAATAGGACTCCCCAACCCAGCTCTTTGTTCCAGAAATAAATGAGGCCCAGAGAAGTTAATATTGGACTGATGTCACAAGCTAATTAACAGCAGAGGTAGGAGGGCAGTTTTTATGAGAAAGTAAATGTAGCCCAAAATAGTCATCATAAAATTATTCAAATTTCTTTAAGTTCATTTCTATCTTTGAAGATTTTCTTAGTATAGAAAGGGAAGACAGCATATTTCAATTTTTGACTCAAAAGTTAAGATCACTACTCAGCCATCTGCAGCAACAAGGATGGACCTAGAGATTAACATACTAAGTGAAGTAAGGCAGGCAGAGAAAGACAAATATATCACTTACATGTGGAATTTTTAAAAAGTGACTCAGATGAACATACTCACAAAACAGAAACAGACTTACAGACATAGAAAACAAACTTACGGTTACCAAAGGGGAAGGAAGGCAAGGAGGGATAAATTAGGAGTTTGGGATTAGCAGATACACACTACTGTATACAAAATAGATAAACAACAAAGTCCTAGTGTAGAGCACAGGGAACTATATTCAGTAGCTTGTAATAACCTATAATGAAAATGTATATATATATATAGAAACTGAATCACTATGCTGTAACACCAGAAACTAATACAACATTATTATAAATCAATATAAATCAATTATACTTCAATTTAAAACAAACACACAAAAAAAGTCAAGATCTATTTTCTAACATTTCCAAATCTTTATGATAGAGTAAGTGAGACCATCACCGTTTCAGATCAATAAAGGTGCACCTGCATCCTTCTGCTGAGGGGCTGACAAAATTCTCAAAAGGAACTGTTTTAACCGCAGCTGAGACTGGTACTGGTATGTAATTTGGCAGGAGCTGAGAGAGCTGCCTCTTGAGCTGTGTCAGTCTGTGTGAGAACTGGAGGCTCAAGAACTAAGGCAGGTTCTTGGTTAGACAACTTTGGAATCTGATTTTCGGGCAGTAGGTTACATCTTTCCTTGGATGAAATGGTAAGGGGAGAGGGATGGTATGACAAAACCTTATAGGCATGTGTTTAAAACCTATAAATAAAACATCGAAGAAATTACCTGCCATTGTACAATTTCACCTAATCATCTTCTTTCTCCCTATATACACTTCCACTTCAGCCAAGGGTGGAGTATTGCTCTCAGGTACAAATTCTTAAAATAGAGCAAGCAGTAAATGCAGTGTGACTTCTCCGGGTTAAGCCTTTTAGCCACAGCCAGTGAGTGTGCCTTCATGAGGTATCACTATAGCTGGTAAATCACCAACAGGGACAAAGGATGTGGCTGGGGGACCCACCCCACCTACACTTCTGCAGAATAGCAATGCCAACTTACCAACTGGATGGCTATCATTAAAACAGTCTTCAAAGTAAAAGTTCGGTCACAGAGGTCAAACAAGTCCTCCAAGCTAGGGCCAAGAAGCTCCAGCACCATGGCATTGTATTTCCCACATGGTCCAAAGTAATACACCTGTGGGAGACCTTCACCTGAAAGCAGAAGGAAAATGGAGTGCAAAGTGAGGGGCACAAAACCCAAAATATGAGACAGCTGCATCGAATATAAAGGAGTAGATATATAAAGAGATCTAAAGTAGATATAAAGGAGATACAATTTGTGAGATTTCCATTTTTTTTTCATAGTCCCTACTGGTGAACTTAAACTGAGCACATTATTAGCTTCAAAGGGAGCTAATAATAGGCGGGAAAGGCTAAGTCATTGTACAATATGTTCAAATAAGCAGTTATTTAAAACCAGAGTGCCAGAGGCATGTTTCCATTGCTATGTGAGACAGAGAATGGTCCCTGATCCACTGCTGGATCTGAGCGTAAGCTATTCTCCCCCAAGGATGCCCAAAAGTGTACTATATAAAAGGTTCAAAAGACAGCTCCCTGAGCTCAAAGGCCAGGCTCACAGACCTTGCTGCATTAGCTGGTTTTATGTGCCCTCCCTATGCTTACTGTCAAAGCCACATGGAGATGGAGCTGTTTGCAACCGTTTGCCCCAAGGAGAACTCAGACTGAAAGGGTGAGGTCACAGAGGATGCAGACTGGTTCTTCTCATAGGCAGTCTCTGCAGTTTCCTGTTTTCTATCAGTTGGAGCTAAGTCAGCGACTGGGTTTGGTTACTGATAAGTAATTATGAAAGGAAGAGGAATAAAAATACAAGGCTGGGTTTTCCCCAATTTGAAATTCATAGTTATAAAGAAGCCAAAATCTAGACTTTCTCACCTAAGTGGCAACTTGTGAATAAATTTCCTCCTTAAAGTGTATTGTAAATATGAGGCACACGGTAAATATGTATTAAATGGCACCACGTGAACAGTGGATATGAATGAGAGTATAGAATTTTCAAAAATCTGGTCTCAGAGCAGAAACACTTCCACCTTAATATACTGACGTGCACCATGGTCTGCAGGTGTATATGTTGCAGATTCCTGTTGGCTTCTGTCTACAAGTTTTTTTTGGACAACAAAATCCTCTCCATCTTCCCATTCTTTTTTTTTTTTTTTTTTGTACAGGCAGGATACAGGCAGAGGTAATTATATCTACTGTGATTTGAATATTTGTGTCCCCCTCACCCCCAAAATTCATATGTTGAAAACCTAACACCCAATGTGATGGTTTTAAGAGATGAGGGCATTTGGGAGGTGATTAGATCATGGGGCAGGGCCTTTATGAATAGGATTAGTCCCCTTAAAAAAGATACTCTACAGAGCTTTCCAGTCCCCTCCACCATGTGAGGACACAGCAGGAAGTCAGCAGTCTGCAACCCAGAAGACGGCCTTCCCCAGGACCTGATCATGCTGGCACCCTGAACTTGGACTTGGAGCCTCTGGAACTGTGAGAAATAAATTTCTGTATTTATAAGCCACTCACTCTGAGGTATTTTGTTACAGAAGCCCCAAAGGACTAAGACAATATCTAAAACATAAAACTTTAACCCAACATGCCCATCTTTCTCTCCAGCACAGGTCTTATATATTTGGAAATTGGTTTAGTTTGCTGCTATGATATGTTTTTATTTCATGTGCTGCATCAGTCTATCTTATTCCACCTAAATACTAAACAACTCGATTTTTAGTGTTTTAATATGTCCATTCCCAGGTCGTACCATCTAATACAGTATACTCTGCTCCTGCGAGCTCCACAAATATTCACTGAATTGTCCTTGTGGTTGTTCTGAGTCTCCCTGTCTCCAAAAGGAAATGGGATTTAATCTGAAGTCTCCTTCCCCCCTCTGTTGTTTTGAAGAACTCATTCTTCAGTTCATTTAATATATATAAAACCAAACAGCTGTTCCCAGTAAGTCCTACTGAGAAATCCAAAACAGAACACTATCATAGAGATTTATTGCTCTTATTAATCAGACACATGGTAGATTGCAGTCTGGGGATCTTTTAAATTTATATCCTATATAATAGTTTTTGATGTTACTAAATTTTGTTTTCCTAATATAAATATTATATTCTTCAAAACAGGTTGTGGCAGATCTGTTGGCTGCCTGCCCAATTTCCATTCCCTCCTTCAACAACAGAATTTCTAATTATTGTGAATAGTAAACTGCACAGCCGTAACTTTCTATTCTCCCTTGATAAAGGAATGGCCAGTGGATGGAAGCAGAAACTGTTGGATAGCGTGGTTCTAGAAAAGTTCTTTCAAGGTTGCTGACTCAAATTGGAGGTATGTTCCTTTGAGATGGCTGAAGCTCCAGAAGCCATCTAGAGCTACCAGATACCTTGAAGATTTAAGACAATGCCAAGATGGATGGAACAAAATTGGAGGAACCTGTCCCTGGTGGCTGTGAAGCAACCACACCAATGGTGGACTTCCCTTCCCTCTGGACTTTTTTAATCCAAAAGAAAAATCAACCTCTGTCTTGACTGAACTACTTATTTGGATTTTTTTAATAGCCAAGTCTAATCCTAATGAATAAACTTACTATTCCTTTAGTTGGTTAAGCTGCAAATCTAGGCACAATATCCTCTTCTAAAGTACAAGCTAAAAGTCAGGCTGGCTTAGAAACATAGTATTGGTATAATTTTCTAGACTTGCTGCCAATACTTAATGATCAGTTTAAAAATGAGACAGATGATCATCTTGTTCTTGATGATCTTCAGGACCAAATGTAGGCATCTCTTGTCAAAAATTTCCATATTTACAAAGAAGTCACAAAAGCTTTCTGGATGATGTCTATAATTTCTAATGATAAGTAATGCCACTTGTAACTCCTGCCTAGAAACCTCAAAGGTGCGAGGAGTTCCTACTAGCGGCATTATTGCTTCTTTTCTTAAATACTCTGAAACTTTCCAGTACCCTCGTGGGCTTTGGGATGCTCAAGACAGCTTCTAGATTACCGAGCAGCTTTGAAGTTTTTCTCAAAGATAGACTAGGTCCAGGATGCTAGTGTAGAAAGAGCTCAAGTCAGAGTCTTGGATTTAGTATTTGGTCCTGCTACCAACTCTGAAAACTTCACCTTTCTGCTCTTTCTCACCTGTAAAGATAACAGGTTTAGCCTGGTTCTCCTTTAAGTCCAAAATTCTGATCATAGCTAGGATTTCCTTCTAGCTAACTTCTAGGTTCCTTTTGTAAATCCACAGGACCAGTATGAATGAAACTTGTCTCCGTGTTATGTAGAATATGTGTGGTACGAATTCAAGTGTACGCTGGTAGTGGAAAGTGGTAACGGTACTCAACTGAAAGTGTGTCTATTAAAACATCTCTAAAACTTTAGAAACAGATCTGGTGACTTCACTTCAAACCTACCAAAGCAGAATTCCTAGTAGTGGATGTAAGCATAGCTCCCACAGTTGATACAGAAGCACAACCTCGCAGGAAAACTCTGTATCTAGAGGGTAGAAATAAAGGGCATTGCTTTGTTTTATGGCTAATATATTCTAAGGACTCAGAAAACACTGACAGACCAGTACCTTTCAGAACAACTGGATTCAGTATTTTAAAAAAAACTGAAATATAGTCAGTTTAAAATTGGACTCAGTACCTTTTTTTTTTCCCAGTACCTTTTGAAAGGAATCTGGTTTTTTTTCTTTTTTTTTGGTCAGGGAGATTTATTTATCGAGGCTTGTTTATTTATTTACTTTAATGGAGGTACTGGGGATTGAATCCAAGACCTCACGCATGCTAAGCATGCACTGTACCATGGAGCTATACCCTTCCCCAGAAAAGAATCGTTTTAAGGCTATTTAAAAGACTTGTCTGTTTCGAGTTTCTTAGGTATTACAGAAAATGTGCTGCTGAGCATAAAAGTCTCTTTGGGAGACATAGCCATAATTTATTAGAACTGTCTGTGACAGATAAAGATGCCCACACAAGTTCCATTCTGTGCCTGGCTTCTCACATGGCTGCCCGTTAAGTAGCCAGAGCTGGTGGTGAAAGGCACAGACACAGGCCCGCGAGGGAAGCCTGTCTCTGGTCAGAGATTTACTGCACAGCAGTGATTTATCACCTGGGTTGCACTGAAACGAGAACTCCTGTATATTACATTTCACTCTTATTTTCCAGAGCCATCTCTAATCCATTGCTTAAAAATTTTAAATTAATCAACATTATGCTGTAAAGTCCTTTAATAAGATGGGATGATAGCAAAGCCTTAAACACAACACGTTTTTCCAACAAGGTACTTCCTGCAAGTAATTCTGAAGCAATGGGAATAAAGTGGGAGAGGCAGGCAAGGTAGATATACAATGAATTTCTTTTGATCCATGGTATTTCAGAAACTAAGTTAGTATTATAATCTCTCTGGAAATAAAGCACTAATAAGGTCTCCCATCTAAATTGGTCAACTGCATAAAAGCTTGAAAATTAAAGAAGCAGATTCCAAACTTTCCTCTTCTGAAGGATTTCCAATATATTTCGTTATTATTACTTTTAGCCACAGGTTAAATCCGTTATAAACCAATACTGCAAGGTTAAACACATACTGCACATGTTACTG